TGGAGGGAATGAACAAGTGCAACACGCTAGTTTCCCCAGACTTCTTTCTCCACAAGAGAGAAGAGCAACAGCTTTGCCTCCTAACAAACGCAGTTATAGTTAGGTGATCTTTCTGCATCTCTTCCAGTATTTAATGAGGATTGAAAGACAAAAATATTTCTTTGTCTTTCACTGTTGCCAGGAATTTATTTTGGCACAATGGAATTACCCACATATTTATTTTATTTTTAAACACGAATTCCAGTTCACTGCTGTCCATTTACTTTATCCACTGTCCATATTTTTAGATACAAAACACATGCATGGTGTTGTGCCCTGTGTTAAAATATTATCTATCTGCACTCTACATAATTCTGCAGAAGTTGAGAGATCAGTTCCTCCTAAAGAAGAACAGGGCATACGGATTTTTTTTTTTTTTCCCCTCTGTCCTTCCCCCCCCCCCCCCCCCTAAATTTAGAGAAGTATTTGTCCTTTCACTTTCCAGATTGTCCTAGATTTCTTTATTCAACATATACATCTTGATGAGACTCAGCATACAACCAAACTAATCATCACTACTGTGTTTTTCTTCCCCTCTCAAATTTCATGGAAAGGGAGACTTTTATGGGACGAGTTCTAATGAGAGATCATGAATTTGTACTGTAGACTAACCATCTAACCACCTATCAGAGGCAGCATGGTAAAAAGGTCCTTATGACAATTTTATGGAACTAATGCTCCCATCACATATACTGCATAAGAAACTTCTCAAGTAAATCACTGACATTAAGAAAAATCATGTTGCTATTGTCTTATTCAAAAAACATATGTATGGTAACTCCTCTGAGTCGATTGTTAAAATGAGTGCATTACGCATAACAAAATTTACAACTGTGAATTCTACAAGCAAACTGTACACATTTCAAGATGGTTGTATGAAATAATAATGAAGACTGATATTCAGTTTAAGAAGGTGATAAATATTACTACAGCACTTGAGATCTATGGTCATGGACAAGGAATTCATTGTGCTATGTGCTGCACAGTAAAGATGAAACCAAATTTATTTCTACCAAGAGACATTAGAATCTGAGACAAGAAATATATGGATTCATAGAGAAAGTAACTGAAATTAGTCATTGTAACGTGCATCCATCTCAATACAAAGCACTGCTAAGTTTTGGGGGGAGCTTGATTTAAAGGTACTGAAAAAGATTTTGAAGGAGGATAATGAGTTCTGCAGATACCTATAGGAAATCTCTTCAGCCATAAGAAAGAATATAAAACAGACAGCTGGAAAAGCTAGTCTGAAAATTAGCAAACAAACAATGAAGACTGATATTGCAGGATGAATGTAAGTAAGGACAGCAAATCAGAAATAATTAATGGGTTGGAATAGGTTAAAACAAGTAACTTATCTACTACAACTTAAAGAAACAGATTGAGATGCAAAAAGAAGAATAGCATCTAGTGTCTACTCGCTTTGATAACAACTTTTTCTACAGCAATCTCAGTGAAGAAAGATAGGCCAAAGCTGCAACTATCAAGTCCAAGAAAAATACATGGCATCACATCAAAAAGCAAAATGAACCATTAATAAGTTATAGTTGAGTGGACACACAGATAGAATCATAGAATGGCATAAGCTGGAAGGGACCTTAGAGATCACCTAATCCAACCTCCCTGTCATGGGCAGGGACGCCTCTCAACTAGATCAGGCTACTCAAGGCTCTGTCCAACTTGACATTGAACACCTCCAGGGAGGGGGCATCCACAACTTCTCTGGGTAATTTATTCCAAAGTCTTACCACCCTCGTACTGAAGAATTTCTTCCTAAAATCTAATCTAAATCTGTTCTCCTTCCACTTAAACCCATTTCCCCTTGTCCTATCAGTGGACACTCTTGTAAAAAGTCCCTCTCCAGCCTTCCTGTAGGTTCCCTTCAGGGAAGAGAAGAATATATTCCACAGGTGTTACGGAGTGAAAAAGTAACAGGTAGGACACCATACTCCATGTTAAATATACCCAGAAAGATAGACATACCACCTCAAAGATCAACAGCTGGATATTCACAGAATGGTACAGAAGTAACAAAAGATGTTCAAGGCCAGGTTGGATGGGGCTTTGAGCAACTTGGTCGAGTGGAAGGGATGCCTGCCAATAGCAGGGGGATTGGAATTAAGTGATCTTTAAGGTCCCTTCCAACCCAAACTATTCTATGATTCTATGTCAGTTTTGACAGCAGGGACACTTAGGTCAGATGTAGATCTGTAAATTGTTCATATAAAAATGAAAGCTGAACTTCTGTTTGTAGATGTATTCATCCACAAAGAAGGTACAGAAAGAGAAAAGAAGAGAAAGACAGGGCCCTATAAAGTCTTCACAGAGAAAGGAAGAACAGGAAGGAGTAGAAACATGCAAAAGAAACTCTATAGAAATTCTTAGAAAGGCAGAAAGTAAACCAGAAAAACATGAACGTTTCAAGAAAGAAAGCAGGATTTTACATGAAAGGAAGGAGACCAAAGGTGAAAAGCAGAGAACTATGAGTTTTAGTTAGAAAATTCATTAGTTGTTTGTCAACAGCAATTTTAGTTGACTGGAAGGAGAAGCAAGACTAAAGTGAACATAGGAATACCAGAAGAATAATTCTAGACTTCACAGGACTATAGTGTAGTTTAGAGATGGCAATGTTTGGCTGATACACAGAAAAGAGAATTGCAAACAACATTAAACACTCAGATAACTTATCCTGAGTAAGAGGACCCTATGCAGATACATAATTAAGGAACATTTACACTCAGAACTACATTATTTTTATTTCCACTTTTTTAAATGGAAAAACATCTTGAGATATTTGGCCTCAGTTCCATGCTGTACTTTGTCTCTCTGGTACAATAGGATATACTGGAAGAAAGCCATAAAGACGACTGATTATGATTACTAGAGGCAGTTTAGCAGCCTCAATATTGCTGTAAGACATGAGTTGCATAACTCCAAGCAACCATTCAGTTTAACATGTTAATCGCATTACTATCCACATTGCTAAAGTAGGGAGAGTCCATCATCAGATTTAATCTACAAAAGACAGCACTAAAAGCAAGCTTTACAGTCTTCTAAGATGCCAAATAAAGTTTAGAAGTCTGAACCACGGACTTGAGATTCATTGCTTGTTTTCTCTGAATTTTGTTTTTCATAAAACAAAAGATCATTTATATTTCAACGTAGTCATCCTCAAATATTAGGCACCTGGTAAGCATCAAAATCAGTTCTAGAAGTTGACTGAAAGATCTCAAAAATTATTGGCTAAAAACATTGGACGTTTTGTTCTATTTTGCTACAGGTAGTCTATTTCCTCAATCGGTGAAACAAGACTAGGACAAGAGTCTTAGAAAAAAAGTCAGATTCTTGTATTGTTTTAACAAGGATCATAGGAGTCACAGAACCCTTATTAGAGTCATGCACTGCAACAGCAGCTCACAATAGCGTCATCATGAACCTTTGCATGCAATTCCTGCTCCTGAAGTAGAACTCATTCAGTTATTCAGAGACCTCTGAAAGAACCACTCTTTGCACAGAAATTATAGTAGCTAATCTGGAATTTTTGATTAGCAAAAAGATATTTCTAAAAAAAGTAAAAATAGTTTCATAATGTCAATCAGCCTCAAGACTCTTTTTTGATAGTTTGTGTCAAAAACCTTGTAAGTTTCCAGTAAAGGTCTCAAATGTGACAGGTAATTACTTTTAGATAATAATTTTTGTACTTTGATACTGAACACAGCTGTTGTGGAATCTAATTACAAAACTTCCATTTAGATAAGAAAACTATCTATTTCAATGTATTATGCAAACAGCATATCATATTTTTGCTATTTGATGAGTAAAGCTGCAATTTAAATACACTGTTTATCATAAAATTAATATAATGAAGGTCCTTGATCAGCTTTAATCTTTCATAATTTGCCTATAAGTTTTAAGCTAAGTTTCACTATAATTAGTGTATGTATCCAAAATGCCTATCATCTACCCCACCTCCATTCTGAAAAAAAGCACTCAGAATGAAGTTGGAGTATATTTCAAACACATGCTGGAAATATTGACAGTGCTTTTCATTTTACTTCCTTTTAATGTCCCTCTACTGCTGAAAACCGTAATACATTAAAATTCCCTTCATATCCAAAGATGCTTTCCATTGTGCTGGTTTAGAACTAAACCTGATGGCTTAAAACACCTGTTTTCTTCCTTATATACTAATTACATTTGTGTTTTTGACTATTGTCAGGACTAAGTTTGTAAAAAATACAAAGTCTACTTTTATTCAGCTCTCTGTTGAAACGCTATGGAAGATACAACTTCTGTCCCTTTCCATAGTCCCGAGTTTGACAATTTTGAGGAAAAAAGACTACGTAAAATGCAGTACACTGGAAGACTTTAAATTTCAGAGACATTGAAGTCCTTCTGAATGACACCACTCACAATACCAACATATTCTTGTAATGTTCCACTTCATCTATGAAACAGCAAATATTAGCATCTTTATTTTATTGTTCACAAAGCATGTCATGGAAGTGTCCTCAGAATGGTACAAATAAAAAGCAACCCCAAAAAAATGCAATGAAAAAGTCATTATTACACTTTTAGAATGCCTATATTGTCAAAACTGAAATCTGATGCCTCTGTTAATTTTTCTCGCTGTTTTCACATATCTTCAGTTTTATTTCTATAGTCCTGAAATACACAGATTAAATGAAAAGATGTGGATTAACTCAGTATATCTCCATTAAGATATCTTAATTAGGAAGTACTTTTAAGTTTAAAGCCTTTCTCTTCTGGAGTTTTACATATTTCCATTCATATTACAACACTGTTTGAGTTGGGTCAATTGCCAACAGTCAATCACAATTACATTTTTTTATCTATGGGATATATTTCAGCCAAACATTTAAGATTTTATTACTATTAGTTTCATTTTAGCATCATTATTTCAGTGCATCTCTAGTTGCATTGTAATTTTTACACAGTACCTTTTTTTTTTCATCCATAGATTTCTGAATACGTTGTCTAAGAGGTTTTGGAGAAGATTCACTGGATTGTGCTGGAGATCTACATTAAAAAGAGATAAGTATTTAGAACATATAAAAGTAATCAGTTAAGAAAATAATTACCATACCAAGTTCCTCAGAAACAGGAAGGCAAATGTCTTCACTCTCCAAGCCTTATTTTGTTTCTCCCTTCCTAAGTAACCACATGTACTGCGACAACTGAAGACCATATAATGAAACCAAACCTACATGTCCAATTTCTGAAATCATTTTGCAATATTAGTTCTGCAGCCACAGTATTATTATTTGTAATGGTGGTGATGAGTTACCAAGTCACCATTCTACTTACAGCCCCTTGAATAGTATCTGGTTGACATCCAGAATAATTTTCATCATATTTACAGACTTTTCAATAGAAGTACTCTATTGAAAAATGCCTCCGCCCTCCTACATTACGCAATGTGAAAAGTTATGTACATGAATAAAAAATTTTGATGCTTACAACACAAAAAATTATTGATGCATATAAGAAGGGATTTTTTGGTCTTGAAATAAAAAGAACTAATCTGTGCATCTGTAAATAATTACTTCTTCTTTTTGCTCGTGGCAGGCCAGTGTGCATACATGGACAATCGTTTCAAAAATAACTCATTCTTTATTTTATTTAATTAATTCCATTAAATTATTCCATAAATAAAATTTATTTTATTTAGCTCATTCTTTATTTTTTTAATTTCTGTTTGTCTGTGATGCAAAATTTCTACAGGACCTTGAAATGTTTTCTACTATTTAAATTGCCAAAATATGTAGCTTCAACATGCTTCCATCTATGCTGTTCTGGTTCATGCGTGAGTCGTCTTTGTAAACTGCAATGACAAAATTCTCAGCATCCCACTCTTCTAACAACTGATGATTGCTCAAGATAAGCAACTGATTAAATCATCACTGCTTCTTCAGTGCATGGATAGGTTAGTTTACTTTTCAGTGCCCATAGATGTGGGTTTTCAAGGATTCTTTATTTTGTACACCAGATCACCATGGGTGATGGATTTAATTTCCTCAAATAGAAGGAAATTTTAAAAAGCGAGAAAAGAAATGAGCAAGCTGTAATGACTGGCTTTAACATTAATAGGATGAGAAGATGATAGGAATGATATAAAAAACAGCAGCAAACAAAAAGTTGCCCCAAACCCTGAATACCTGTTGAACCGGTAAAACCAGAAAAAGAGATACTGTATTGCAAAAAGTTGGGAAAATATTTAATCCATAGTCATGCAAAATTTAAGTCAAAGATTTTAAGTCAAACAAATGTTTTATCCTTTTGGGGAAAATTCAAGAAAATTAATTCAGCTGAAAAATCAAATGAGGTAAGTGAAACCAAAGCACTCAGTGGGCACTCTTATGCAGAAATAGTGGTTTAAAACACATTTTAAATTAAAGAGTTAGTTTAAAAAAAAAAAACAAAATCAAGATCTCTAGCTCTGAATAATAGCAGTGTTTAATTCAGAAGGAGAATTCAGGTGGGCCTGGAATCCATTCACATAGAGCATTAACCTAAAACTGATTAAACTTCCTTTCATTCTGATAGAAATACAACCACAGTGACGTTTATTAAATTATGAAACGATTTAAAAAGTAATATGGATCAATTTTCCTGAATCTGAAGTAATGGAAAAATAAGAGACTGAAATCAGAGTTATTTTAAGCTTGTTACATGATGGAATAGAAATGGATAGCTACAGCTATCCACAGATACTTGAGATGAAAGAAATATTCCACAGTAAGTTGTTAAAAACTGCTTTTTGTATTAAAAATTATTACAAGTTTATTTAGAATTCTAATTAGTGAAAATATTTTTTTTAAGTTTTGTTAGAATATGCTTGTTTGTTTGGTTTCACAAAAGAGATCAAAAGATAACTCTAAAGGAACTCTTAACTTCTTCCACGTTTAAGATTCTCCATCTTCTAATTTAAGACCTATCACTGGTTTTCTCTTTCCTTGCTGTTATTTTCAAAGCCTTGCACCTGCACACTCTGACAGTGTTGTTATGGTGGGCTCTTATGGGAAACAACTGCTTCCAGCATAAGAAACATTCCCTTCTTCCCTACTTTTCCTACACTTTTCATTTTAGCTTTTATGTTAGGGAACCCAAAAATGTGCATGCACAGAGCTTAATAAACATCAGGCCATACAGCCCCTGCCCTGATGAACAGATGCTCCAATCACTGCTAAAAGCACCAAAAGCAGGGACAACTAATAAGGGGTTTGAGCAGGTCCTTAAGAAGACAATAAGGCTAACCTGGGAAAAGGATTATTGAGGAACCAGCCACTACACTAAAGAGGATGCTTGTCTGGGAACTCTGGTTGCTTTACTTTCCACCTGGCCAACAGGGAGGGTTCTCTCTTTCTTCTCCTCTCCCTTCCCTTTGATTTTATTCTTCCCCAAAAGCAACTTTCACCATTAGAGTCAATGTATGCCATCAGCTGCAGACCTTACTAATAAACCTTCATGCACGTGAATTTGTTTCAACATCTTTTGTGCAATACTATCCTGACTGGTGGTTCACAATATGAAAAGCTATTTAAAACTATCACCACAAAATAATTGCTATGTAGGAAGAAAACAGGATATTATAAAAAAATCTCTTGTGTCACAGTTAGACAAAGGAGGCATCTTCCAATTGGATAGTAATCTAATTAGCGACTGAACAGACAGTATTTGAACTTGGGAGTTCAAGCTCAACTTAAGAGGTCAGTATTTGTCAGGTTTATTGCAAAGGATATTCCTTCATGGTTTTGTGCAGCCCAGAAACATACTAGCTCAAAAAGTCCATATTACAGAAGTATCTCGAAGTTGCAGAAGACGCGAATGAGGAGGTAGAAAACTTTTGAAAACTTGAGACTGTTCTAAGAAAGTTTTCCCTGTTCACCTAACCTCACAACAGACTGCACTTTGGTCATTTGCTTTGTGTCAGTAATATCAATGCCTTGGTATAAGGTCCTTAAAAAAAATACAACCTAATAAACTCAACACAAACACAAAAAAATCTTCTAGTACTCACCTGAAAAGTGTTAAAACAGAGGTGGTTCCAAACAAATTTAAGCTTTCATCATCATATAATAGTTCTGCTTTGTTCTGGGTAGGAGGATTGACAGCTTCTTCATCCAGAAGAACTAGTAAGATCTTTATAGTATCTCTGCCACAATACACAGTGCCATGATTTATGGAATGCAATTTTGGCTGAAAGTCAACAAAATTAAAAGGAACACACAACAGGAAATGTCAGCAAACCAGACCTATAGCTCACCTCCACAAGCAACCCATATCAGCACCAGGTGTGAGAGTCCCTTCCTTCCATTTCCCAGTAAGCATTTATGGGGAACCTACCCATAGGAAAGTTTCTTTCTCATCCCAAGCAATTAGTAGAGATTAGATCACTGCCAGCTGGAGGTGTACACTGATGAGGAAGTCACACAGGTACAGATACATATACAAAGCTGTGATGAAACCACATAGCAGAGATTAACATATTATTTTCTCACAACCAACTTGAGTGCCATTGCGTACACAAACACATTCTGGTCAAGTCCAACTCTTCTGACTACCTGAATCTGCTACAGCAGTTGGTCAAAAGTGAGATTTCTGTCAAGATTTGACAACAGGGGTACTTGGCACTACCTTCTGTTGTTTGCAACAGGATGAATTCCTTACAATTTTCCACAAGAATAAAGAATTCCTTAAAGAAAATAATCCACATCTGGAAGTGCTCAATGCTACAGTCAGCAGTACAGATGCAGAACTCCATAGCCACTATGGGACTGCAAGAATTGCAAGTTTGCTATGTTTTTCTTTAAAAGTGCTAGGAGTTCCATAGAGAAATTTAGTGCTTAATACACAGTAGTAGATTTTAAAAACTATAGGCTTTCTTATTTACCAATACACAGAAACATTACATAGCCTGACTTTGTTCAGAAGGACAGGACAAGCAATGAACTGCATTTATCTAACCAGTTAACTGCTTTTAAACAGAGTCTTGAAAAGATCAAATTCTATTTCTCTCTCTATTTGATTATATCAATTAGTGTATGTAGCTTTCAAGAAACCATAGCAACACATGTCAGTCAGTTACTATAAGTTATAATCAATAGCTAGAAATAGCAATTACAGAAATGGTTGTTACTTGGCTTTACAGAATTGGCCTATTTCAGTACCATTTAATTTCCTCAAAATTTATTCTGAACCTCTTCAGTCATTACATCACCCCATCATAGATTTTTATAAAATGTCATGTGTGTCACAATAAATTTGTCTTAATGAGAAAAGTACAAATTTGGCATCATCTTGACTGAATACACAAAGGAAAAAAAAAATCTTTGGAATATAACATAACCTCCTAATTGCCAAAAGATGACCTTCAGAAATCTCATGTACTACAACAACTGTGACTTGGTCTACTAATCATGGACTAAAATCTTATAGTCCAAAGCAAGGCACAACAAGAACTTAAGGCAAGATGACAATCTCTGACATAAAAATCTTATTTATTATTAAGCTTAAAATAATGACTTACATTATTTTTTTTAAAAAAATTGTTGATCAGTCTTTCAAGAGCAGTGACCATTAGCTACTCCAGACTATTCTGGTTAGTTCCAGAAACACTAGCCAGATTCCATCTACAGTAGTAATTTTCTCAGGAAGAAATTAATCATAATTCCTATTAGTCACTCATACAGGCTTCAACACATAGTAGTGCTCCTGCTGCATAAACTAATAACTTTTCCTGGAGCTCTAGATTCTTATAAAACAGGTATTTGCAGGAAAACTGAGCAATGATGGAAGAAAACTGCCACTGCCAGGAGAAAAGCAAATGTTTTTCTAACAAAGTAACTCTTTTCAGGTACATTTTGTAAGGAAGCAGCCTTTCGCAGAGCTAGTGGAGGCATCATATTCAGCACTATAGTTAAGATCATATTTTACATTTGCGCTCAAAGAAATTATTTGACATCTTACATATGAAAAAACATAACATTCTATCAAAACCAGAACTTATTCTGAATTCAAATTTTCTGAAAAACTACAGCATCAGAGTTTGGGGGTTTCTTTATAAGGTAAAAAAGAAAACGCAATTTAAAAACCACAAGCTATATGTCAAACTCAGCACAGAGCATTAATCTTCGCTGTCCTTAGATCTTAATGAAACAATACAGATGCTCCAATTTTTTTTTATACAGCTCATTCATTTGGAAAACTTATGGGAGTTTTTCTTGTTTGTTTTGGTTTTTAATTAGTAATGGGAGGGTTCTTCCCTGTTTTTCTACAGGAAGAACACAAGGGTTCTTCCCTGTTCTTCCACACCAAGCTCCACTAAACTATGCAATTTGATATCAGTCTTTTAACATTTTCTAAGGTCCCTTTTCCACCCGACTGTGAATCACATATTTAAGAATTATCATTAAAATACACGTTAATCACACAATCTTCACAAACTTCATTTACATAAACAAAAAGAACTCCCCACATCAAAATCAAAATAGCATTATCACAACACCGACAAAGGTAGACGATTTGCACACACTCCACTCCTCATCTCTTCACTACAATTACAAAACCAAAAATTCCCCACACTTACTCCATTCTGAGCAATGTTCAGTCCATATTTTGCCCATTACTTCTGCTAATTACTGTCTTTATCTCTAATTCCTCAGGGCCCACACTGGGCACCGGAAAAGACTGTGGTGAGTTGACCTTGGCTACCTGCCAAGTGTCTACCAAGCTGCTCTATCACTCCTCCTCCTCAACAGGACAAGGAGAGAAAACATGATGAAAAGCTCATGGGGTTGAGATGAAGACAGCGAGCTCACTTACCACTTACCATCATGGGCAAAACAGACTTGATCTAAGGAAATTAATGTAATTTATTGCCAATTAATCAGAATAGGACCCCTCCCTTCTTCCCAGACTCAACTTGACTCCCAACTCTTCCACCTCCTTCCCCCCAAGCAGCACAGGTGGATGAGGAGTGATGGTTGTAGTCAGTTCCTAACATTTCCAACAACATCAGGATACAACCATCTTTGCTATTTTCTTCCTCAACAAGGATACTGGTAAACATTTCTACAGAGTAATTAGACTATGAACTTGACCTATGGAGAAAAATAAGAAACATGAACTATTTTGGAAAAGCATTTTCTCTTTTTTTTTTGGTGAATTTCTCTAAGAATGAAGTTATATTAAAACAGTTTAAACAGTTTTGCCTGGTGTCATGGTTTGATGTGGAGGGGGGGTAGTTCTGGTGAGGAGAGGGGTTTTGCTCCCTGCGACCTCCCCGGTTTTGGAACCGGGTTAGGCTTAGTTCTGGCCACCAGATCAGACTGCCATCCCTCTCGGGATTGAGCCAATAGGGCGCCTCTGCGAATTCCATATTTAGGCACAACTTTAGTTACAGAAAGAGAACACAGTATCACAAGAACATTGAAGAAGAAGAAGAACAACATACATTTTACAAACAATCCACCCCTTGTCCCTTCACCAGTCACAACAATCAAAGTTTCCCAAGGTCCTTCTGTTTTTCAGCACTGTGAAGTCCATGTTTTACCCGTTATCTCTCCCAATCACTATTCTTATCTCGAATTCCTCAGCCCCACGTTGGAGCCTATTCATGCTGCAGTCAATGTGAATAAGAGAGTCTATAATCACTTCAGTATCATGTTATTGCTATGATTATCATTAAATGCATCAAATGTTTCTAAAAGCTTCAACTTCCATCTTTTCAATGGCAATGGGGACAAAATATGTAGGTAAAGAAGTGTTCCTATGCAGGACATGCATGACAATTGATAGGCATTCCATATTCTTCAGCAGAACTCACTAGATGAAATGTTTTTGACTTATGACTATTCCAGAACATGCCTCCAACAGGTAGATCCCAGCTTACATGGCTTTTTGCACAGGAAATTGTCTGGAAATCAATAAGTTTATCTGTGATAAAAAAAAATAGTCTGTATCAATAACAACTTGGTTCTACCCACAAGCTTTCTGTTAGTTTACTGAGACTGGGGAGTAGCCAGTTGTCGTGGTTTTTGGACTGAGGGTCGAGACAAGAACCGAGAGGGAGCACCCACCCACCGTGGTCCCGGGCAAAACATGACTCAGGCTTTTTTTTCTTGAAACAAAACAATTTATTAACAGTTACTTAACAAGAGACACAAGGGAAAAAAAACCAGTTACTTGAGAGGAGAAAGAGAAAACAAGGCCAGATCTTAAACACAACAACCTCCCCACCCCTATTTCCTTTCGTTCCTGGCTCTACCTCCCCCCC